AGGATTTTTAAACTGTAAAAGTATGTCATGGAAAATCTTTATGACGTCTGTGTACAATAACAAAAAAGGTAATTAAGCCCTTAAATTAAATTTCACTGTTTCAATTATTTTGGAATTAATGTATGCCCCTGTTGTTCAATTTAAAGTATATTCTGAGAAAATATAAACAAAAATTATAAATATATATAATAGATATTTATTTACCAAAAACGCCATTGTGACTTATATGTCACAAAACAATAAAAAAAATATTGACATTCAAAAATAAAAAAACATCAGAAATGTGTTCTATGGAGTTCACATTGGTCTGTGGTATATCCCATATTTTACCTTCAAGGAAAATGGGTCTGGGTCTTATATCACATTGGCAGAAAATCAATGATATTTAACAGGACAAGTGTGTATGGGATTTAGTGGATCAAAAAGTAGGTGGCAGATTGCAACTTCCTTGCGACACCCCCCACACTTCCAAGCAGAAAAGGAGAAACTACGGTGGTTGTGAAACAGAAATAACAATTGGGCCATTATCTAGAGCCAGTGTATTGGGGGCGGCTGGTGGCTCAGAAGGTAGAGGGTCGATCCCCCAGCTATCATTGATACTGAACCCCAAAATTGCTCCCAATGTGTCATGAATGAGTTAGTTTCTGTTCAATGGCTTCGCCATCACTGTGTAAATGTTATTCTAATAATAATAATAACAATAATAATAATAATAATAATAATAATAATAATAATAATGACATAATTTGTATAGTGCTTTTGTATTTGAAGATCTTTTTTGACTTGGTTATATAAGTGCCCTATTTTCATAATCAGCAATAATCTGCCTTTCGGCCATTTTTGTGATTCACACTCTTTCAAGGAAACCAAACTTTGAGCTTGTTGACTTTATAGTGTTTTTGTTTGTTTTATTCCATTAAACAGTTAATGAAATAAGTCACTACTCATCAGTACTGAGAACTGGCACTACTGATCTTTGTCTGTATGAATACTCAGAATTGGTCTTTGTGGTAAATGGGTGGGGTAAAAAAAAGAAGGAAAAAAAATGCCTGCATAAATGCATCTTTGTGTTAACACATAACACATACATTAATGCTGAGAAAAAAATGCTGAAAATGTCTTTGATAAATTTGATAAAAAAATGGCCAAAGAATTAGGGTTATGTTACGGTTAGAATTGTACTGGATTGTAAAAGTAGCATTGTGCCAACTTATATATAGTTAGGAATTTTAGTCCAGTGGTTCCAAACCTAGGAGTTGGGCCCCCTCCAAAGGATCACAAAATACATCTGAGGGGTTGTGAGATGATAAATTGGGTATTTCTTTTTCATTTTTTTGTAAAAATTGGATACATTTACATCTTTGATCCTTGACCATGGACCACAACTAGACATTACCTTTGGGTCACAAGTCAAAAATGTTGGAACCAGTGGTTTAAAGGACCAGTGTGTAGGATTTAGTGGCATCTATTGGTGAAGTTAAAGATTGCAAACACCGCTTGCGCTTATATTTGACGACCTGGGAATGAGAACAGACTGTGAGGTGTGTAGATGAAACTAAGGTGGCTGTGAAATTCGCACAAAGTTCTGGGCTACTGTAGAAACATGGCGATTCGACATGGTGGACTCCATGAAAGAGTGAGCCGTAAAAATACTTTTTTCTAAAGTATTGATAAAACATCAGTTTCTATATTAAGGTGATTAATAATGAAAACATACATATGAATATTATATTGTATTTTTATTTTTATTATGTAGCATCAAATGGTGCCCTTAAAATTGTACATATACACTTGAATACTTACTTTACTTTAATTTTGACCACTTTATATACTGGTATGGATTGAAACATAATCTTCTTTTAAACTAGAATATCAAATCCTACAGATCCTACAGTTGCTTTTTTCTCAGCTCACAGGCACAGCGAAAGGAGTCAGCTGAGTCTTGGAGTGAAACGTTTGATCAGTAACACAACAAACTGACCATACACCCACTACAATAGCAAGCTCCAAAAATTCTGGAAACTGTATATTCGAGCTGGATTAAAGTGCTTAGTCCCCCCATTAAGATTTACACAACAAATCCTGGCTGGCCCTGTCTCGAAAAGCTGTTTTTTGTTTTTCACTCAATTATTTTAGCTGGGAATGACTCAACAAACCAATTAATTTGCTCTATTTCAAATTTGTTATCAGAATTATCCTGTAAATGGTATTTGTTCACACATAAATATATAATTCATTTTGTATGTGACCAAATGTTACAAAACGTACTGTACATGTGGCTGTACAGTAAGTTCTGTCTGAGGCCAGTTTCATGTACTTGCCTGTTTTTTTTCAAAATTAATTCTATATAATAAATCAGACAATCAGTCTTTTGATACAAAGTGGCTATTCAGCACTTAATAGTCCCTTCAGGCAACTCCTTGGTATTCATTCAGATCTTAGTCCAGCTCACTGCTCTGCTGTCAGGTGATCATCACAAGACTGTTGGCTTAATCCTCCTCCCTACAAAAGCAAGAACAGAAATTAGAGGCTTTCTTAATGTGCATGTAACCAACTGGAACACAACATGATTTGGCTTTAAGTGTTGTTTCCATTGATGTTAAAACTATCAGTGAATCTAATTTAAAGATACGCAACTGGGGACCGTAGCAGACTGAGATTCCACACTCTTCTGGGGGAACTAATTGACCGTATTACTGCTGAAAGTTGATATACAAACTGATTTGTCACCACTGGAGGAAAACAAACAGGTGAAATATGATGAATGCACTGAGTCTTGCCCTTCTTTGTTTATTCCTCTGGCCTGAGCTTGCAGAGGCTCAGTTTCCTCGAGTGTGCTGCACAGTGGAGGGGATCCTGTCCAAGCAGTGCTGCCCTGCTCTGGGCTCAGATCCTGCCAACGTGTGTGGCTCTCTGTCGGGGAGAGGAAGCTGCTTGGCTGTTCGAGTCGACAACAAACCCTGGGGAGGACCATACAGACTGAGAAATGTTGATGACAGAGAAAGGTGGCCAACCAAATTCTTCAATCAGACTTGCAGATGTACTGGTGAGTCATGTTATATTAGGATACTGCTTTGGTGAACAAGTCCATTCAGCTATAGCATCATTTTATTCTGTTTCTTTACTTATTTATTTGTATGTGTTTTATTTATGTTATTTTATTGCAAAGCACTGACATTTAGTTTGCTGTCTGTGCTGAAGGTAACTTTGCAGGGCATGACTGTGGTCAGTGTAAATTTGGCTGGACCGGACCAAACTGTGACCAGAGGAAAGCTCCTGTGGTACGGAAGAACATCCACTCCCTGACACCTGAAGAGCTCCAGGAGTTCCTTGATGTTCTGGAACTGGCGAAGACCACCACCCACCCAGACTATGTCATTGCTACCCAGCACTGGCTGGGACTCCTGGGACCGAATGGAACTGAGCCCCAGATTGCCAACATCTCTATCTATGACTTCTTTGTCTGGCAACATTATTACTCTGTCCGAGACACTCTTCTTGGTAAATGAGCATGGTCACATTTCTTGATATAAAACTACTAAAACTGGTTAGTTCATAGTCGTGGACTCAAAAAACTATAAGGAATATAATACAATATAGAATATATTAGTTGGAGCATCATCGAAGGTCTATGTTTAAAAAAAATATGAGATAATATAATCTATAATTTCTTCAACAACATACATTTGAGGTATAGAGTCAATTATTATTAGAAAGTCTTATTGCAGTGGGGAGGAACG